GGATCTCCTTACAGTGCCACGCCCCCCTCCTGCCTACCTTCAGGGCTAATGAGGAAACCTACCTAGCTCACTCTCTCCCCTTATCTTTATATCAGTCTGTCTATATACAGGTGTATATATATATATATATATATATATATATATATATATATATATATATATATATATATATATATATATATATATATAAATATATATATAAATATATATTCTCTCTTCTTTTTTCCTCTCTCTCTTGTGCGTCTGTTTTGATTGAGAAATAATCCAAATAGAAGAAAAGAAAAGATACTAGACAGTTACAAAGTTAATAATAGCTGCCAAGTATTAGTGGGAGAAATAATAAGACTCACGTAGGTGGCAACACTCACATGCCGCCACAACAAATTACTTGAACTAACACCTCCTGACACCTGATACCTCCTGACACCTGATACCTCCTGACACAACTCCGCCTGACAACATGACTCCTGACATCTTTTGATGCCTCCTGATATCTTCTGACACCTCCTGACATCTGCTGACACTGACGCCTCATGACACCTAAAAAACTGACACCTGGTATCAATTGACACCTGATACCTGACATCAAATGACACTTCCTGACAACAAAACACTTCCTGACACCTGACATCAAATGACACCTCCTGACACCTGATATCAACTGACATCAACTGCTCCTCCTGACAGCAAATGACAGCAATTGACACCTATCTCATACGTGACACCTCCTTCCCCCTCCTTCACTCCTTCATTCCTTCCCTTCATCCTTTCTTCCTTCCCTCTATCTCCTTCCCCCTTCCTCCTTCCCCTTTCTCTTATTAACTCCTCTCTCCTGCTCCTTCCTTTCCTCTCTCCTTCCTTCCCTCCCTCCACTTCTCTCTTGCCTTCCCTTCCCTCCCTCCCTCCACTTCCCTCCTTCCTCTTCCTTCCCTCCTCCACTCCTCCTCCTTCCCTCTTCCTCTTCCTTCCCTCCCTCCACCCCCTCCCTCCTCCTCCCCTCCCTTCTCTTCCCCCTCCCTCCTCCCTTCCCTCCCCTCCCCCACCCTCCTTCCTCTTCCTTCCCTGCCTCCACTTCCTTCCCCTCCCTCCCTTCCCTCCTCCCTCCCTTCCCTCCCTCCTTCTCTCTCTCTCGTTGCCTCAATTGACTTTGGACAAATTGTGCTGCATATAGTTTAGTCCCAGTCGCAGACACCTGCCGCCACACCCAGCGCCCACTACACCCACCACACCTCCGCCACCCTACACCCACCACCCCTCCCTACACCCACCACACCCACCACCCACCGCCACCCTGCACCCCGCCGCCACACCCACTCCACCCACCACCCCCTACCACCCATCGCCACACCACTACACCACACCCACCACCATTCACCCACCCACCCTCACCTCCGCCACACCACACCCACCACACCTGCCGCCACCGCTACCACCGCTACCTCCGCCACACCCCTCCGCCACCGCCGCCACATCCACTACACCCACCACCACCGTTACTCACCCTACCACACCCGCCGCCATCCACTGCCAGCCACAGCGCCACACCCACCACCCGCCGCCACAACCGCCGCCACACACCGCCACACCTGCACCGCCACGCTGCCACACACCGCCGCCACACCCGCCACCACACCAATCTATCACCAGCAAGTCTACGGACTTGGCGCACCCAATTCAACCACCCATCACCCACCGCTACACGCTACCGCTACCCATCGCCGCCATCCGCCACCACCCACCACCACCACCGCTACACCGCTACCACACCCCGCCGCCACCACCGCTACACCGCTACCACCGCTACATCCCGCCGCCACATCGCCACCACACCCCACCACACCCACCGCTACACCGCTACCACACCCGCCGCCACACCCACCGCTACACGCTACCACACCCGCCGCCACACCCACCGCTACACCCGCTACCACACCGCCGCCACTAATAGGTTGTCAAAGTTTAGAAAATTTTGGATGATTCTTTTCTTAGTCAGGAACAATAACACTTGACCTCTCTCTGACCTCTCCCTGACCTCTACCTGACCTCTCCCCTGACCTCTCCTTGGCCTCTCCCCTGACTTTCCTCGCCGCCTCTCCTTGACTCTCCCTGACCTCTCCCTGACCTCTCCCCTGACCTCTCCCCCTGACCTCTCCCCTCCCTGGCCTCTCCCTCTCCCCTGACCTCTCCTCTGATCTCCTCTGACCTCTGCTCTCTCCTGACCTCTACCCCATTCCCCCTTTTACTCCCTTTCATCCTTTCTCCCTCTCACCCCTCTCACTTCACTCCCTCTCATCCATTCGCCCCCTCTCACCCTCTGGTCGTCATAGTTAATTAAAATAATATCACAAAGTCAAGAGGAGGGCCCACACCTGCTAACCATATGGCCGCTAATTACTCAGGTGTTAATGAAGACGCACCTCATTACGCATTCCGAGCCTTGATTGATTACCTCGTCTTATGACTCCCGATGAGCCAGGTGTTGTGTGTGGATGATGGTAGGTGGATGATTGTAGGTGTTGTGTGGATGATGGTGAGTGGATGATGGTAGGTGTTGTGTGGATGATGGTGAGTGGATGATGGTAGGTGTTGTGTGTGGATGATGGTGAGTGGATGATGGTAGGTGTTGTGTGTGGATGATGGTGAGTGGATGATGGTAGGTGTTGTGTGTGGATGATGGTGAGTGGATGATGGTAGGTGTTGTGTGGATGATGGTGGTGGATGATGGTGGTGTTGTGTGGATGATGGTGGTGGTGATGGTAGGTGTTGTGTGGATGATGGTAGGTGGATGATGGTTGGTGTTGTGTGGATGATGGTGGAGGTGAGTGATGGTGGGTGTTGTGTGGATGATGGTGAGTGGATGATGGTAGGTGTTGTGTGGATGATGGTGGTGATGGTAGGTGTGTGATGGTGGATGTGTGGATGATGTAGATGTGTGGATGATGGTGGTGGGTGGATGATGGTAGGTGTTGTGTGGATGATAGTGGTAGTGATGTTGGTTGTGGATGATGATAGGTGTTGTGTGGATGATGGCGAGTGAGTGTGTTGTCTATGCGTGAAACTATGGGCAAGTTTCTTTACGCCATTTGCCTCTGTCTACCCAGCAGTAATTGGGAACCTGGATGTTAATAGATTTCCACATCGTGTTCCGGGGTAATGGTTAGCCAGTGCAGTTGGCGAGTTGTCCGGTGATGATGAGAGAGAGTTGAGAGGACGAGTGTACGTTTGTCTTAGGTGTGTCAGATGACCTCAAGAAAGCTGGGTGTTGCCGAATTGCTGAGTATGTATTGTACTGTATGTATGTATGTATGTATGTATGTATGTATGTATGTATGTATGTATGTAATTATTATTATTTTTTTTTCTCCCATCTCCTCTTCCGTCTCCTCTCTTTCATCACCCTCTCCTCACCTCTCACTCCATCCCCTCAACTCTCCCCCTTCCCTTCCTGTCATCCCTCTTCCTCAAACAACTGTCTCCCCCTCATCCCTCTCTCCCTCCCCCTCCTCCTGCCTCTCCTCTCCCCTCACACCACCCCTGAAAATGGATCTTATTCAAGTTATTTGGCCAAAATTTTTAGGCCGTCTTAATTTTGGCCCGGGTGACTCCTGGCTCTTTGATGCCTTATGTCCCGCTCAAACTTTACGGCCAACTCTTAGTTTTACTCGATTTCGTCTCATTTGTTCCTCTGTGTGTGCGCGTGTGTGTGTGTGTGCGTGTGACTCGTGATATTTTGGAGGTTTTCACGTGGTCGTACAGTGACTCACGTGGGTATGAGTGAAGGGGATGAATAATTTAGTCATAGAGGTCGTCCATCTGTACTGGTCGACCTCTTGTGTGACTCAAACCTCGACTTCTTCTTCTGCTTCTTCTTTCTCTTCTTTTTCTTCTTCCTCTTCTTTTTCTTCTTCCTCTTGTTCTTCTTCATTGTCCTCCTCCTCTTCTTCCACTTCTTCTTTGTTCTCCTCCCTTATAACCTTAGTATAAGTCTCCATATGTGACTTACCTTGACTCGTTCTCAGCGCTAATCTGGCCCTTTCACCTGGCGTTCTCTCAGCGCTCACCTGACTCTCGCACCTGCTGGACACTCGCCGTTACCACCACCAACAATTGAAGTATTCCGGAATTTTGAGAAAGGTTAGCAGGGGAAGAGGATAGCTTGCCCCCTCCCTCCCTCTCTTCCCACCTCACCCGCAAACCACCATGTAAATAGCTAAGTTCCCCCTTGAGTAGTTTTCTGTGGTAGCTGTGGATGCAGGTGGAACTGTCCCAGATTTTACTTTCTTTTCTGGCTTCCTTTGCTTCTATCATCTTCTTCTTCTTCTTCTTGCCATATTATTATAGTAGTAGTAGTAGCAGTAGTAGTAGTAGTAGTAGTAGTAGTAGTAGTAGTAGTAGTAGTAATTATATTATTCCATGTTAAAATCAATGAACCAAACACAATTATTTCTCCAAAACTTTCAGCTAAAAAATTATATAAAAATTCTCATCAAAATTTTCGCGTTAGTTTCATGAACAGATCGTGTCAACAAGAAGAGCGTGCTGGAGCCTCGTGATTGGCTGAGTATGTAAATAAAAATCAACCAATCAGATGACGTAACACATACTTCTGGTTAATCATATTTGCTCTACAGGATGAACAATGTGATGAAACGTACATCGTAGAAATAGTAATAACTTATGACACACACACACACACACACACACACACGCACACACGCACACACACACACACACACACACACACACACACAGACACACGCACACACACACGCACACACACACACACACACACACACACACACACCTTCCTCCCTTCTCAGCATAAGCAGATTAGTGTCAATTCCCCGACACCTCCTCTCCTCCTCCCTTTCTCCCTCCTCCCTCCTCTTCCTCCCCTTGTACTATCCTCTTCCTCCCTCTATACTATCCTTTCCCTCCCTCTCTACACATGTATTAACACCTTCACACACACCTGCACTAACACCTGTCATTTCTTGCAGAGTTACCACGGCCGCCCCACATATCACAGGTGTTGCGGACAAGTACGTGGCCGGGGACATACTGAGAGCCAACTGTACTGCTGGACGTTCTCATCCTGCTCAATCCTCAGCTGGCATGTCAACAGCAAGGAGGTGAGGGAGAGGTGAGGGGTGAGGGGTAGAGGTGACGGGGGAGTAGGGAGGAGGGGTGAGGGGAGGGTAGGGAGGGGGTGATGGGGAGGAGTGAGGAGGGGAGGGGTGATGGGGAGGGGTAGTGGTGGGGGTGAGGGGAGGGAGAGGGAGTAGGAGGGGAGGAGGAGGGAGGGAGGGGGAGGGGTGGGGAGGGGTAGGAGGGGGTGAGTGGGGGAGGGGAGGGAGGGGAGGGGTGAGGGGGGGGTAGTAGGGGGTGAAGGAGAGAGAGGGGAGGGTGAGGGGAGAGAGGGGGGGGGGAGGGGTGAGAGGGGGAGGGGGAGGGTGAGGGAGAAGGGAGGGGGAGGGGTGAGGGGGTGATGGGGAGGATTAGGGAGTAGGGAGGGGAGGGTGAGGGGTGGTTAGGGGTGAGGGAGAGAAGGTGAGAGAGGGTGAGAGAAGGGTGAAGGGTGATGGTAAGGGTAGAGTAAGGTGAAGGGTGATGGTAATGAGATAAGGGTATGTGGAGTAAGGGTGAGAGTAGGGAAGGTGATGGTAAGGGTGAGAGTAAGGTGAAGGGTGATGGTAAGGGTGAGAGTAAGGTGAAGGGTGATGGAGGGAGAGAGGGTAAGAGGTGGGGTGGAGGAGTAAGGGTGAAGGGGATGGTAAGGGTGAGAGTAAGGGTGAAGGGTGATGGTAAGGGTGAGAGTAAGGGTGAAGGGTGATAAGGGTGAGAGTAAGGGGTGAAGGGTGATGGTAAGGGTGAGAGTAAGGGTGAAGGGTGATGGTAAGGGTGGAGAGGGGTGAAGGGTGATGGGTAAGGGTGAGAGAGGGTGAAGGGGTGAGGTTAGGGTGAGAGAGGGGTGAAGGTGAGGGTGAAGTGTTAGGGGAAGGGTGAGGTGTTAGGGTGAGGGGTGTAAGGGTGAGGGTTAGGTGAAGGTGAGGGGTGAAGGGTGAGGGTATGTGGTAAGAGGGGGGTGAAGGGTGAGGGGTGATATGAGGTGTTAGGGTGAAGGGTGAGGTGAAGGGGTGAGGGTGAAGTGTTAGGGTAAGGGGTGAGGTGTTAGTGAGGGTGAAGGGTGAGGGTAGTGAAGGGGTGAGGTGAAGGGTGAGGGTGAAGGGTGAGGGGGGGTGAGGGTGTGAGGGGTGAAGGGTGAAGGGTATAAGAGGGGTGAAGGTGAGGTGGTGAAAGGTGAAGGGTGAGGGTGAGAGGGTAAGGTAAGTGAGGTGAAGGTGAGGGGCTAGTGAAGGGTGAGGGTGAAGGGTGAAGGGTGAGGGTGAAGGGTTAGGGGTGAAGGATGAGGGTGAAGGTGAGGGTGAAGGGTAGAGGTGAAGGGTGAGGGGGAAGGTGAAGGGTGAGGGTGAAGGGGAGGTGAAGGTGAGGGTGAGGGGTGAAGGTAAGGGTGAAGGTGAAGGGGTGAGGTGGAGGGTGAGGTAAGGGGTGAGGTGTTAGGGTGGGAGGGGTGGGGAGAGGGGTATGGGTGAAGGGTAGGGGTGAGGGTGAAGGGTGAGGTGAAGGGTGAAGGGTAAGGGTGAAGGTGAAGGGAGGGGTGAGGTGTTAGGGTGAGGGGAAGGGTGAGGTGAAGGGTGAAGGTGAGGGTGAAGGTGAAGGGTGAGGGTGGAGGTGTTAGGGTGAAGGGGTGAGGGTAAGGGGTGAGGGTGAAGGGTAAGGGTGAGGGTGAGGTGTTAGGGGTGAAGGGTGAGGAAGGAGGGTAGGGTGAAGGGGTGAGGGGTATGTGAGGTTAGTGAAGGGGTGAGGGTGAAGGTATGGGTGAGGGTGAAGGTTAGTGAAGGATGAGGTGAAGGGTGAGGGGAGAGGGTGAAGGGGTGAAGGGTGAAGGTGAGGGGAAGGGTGAGGGTGAAGGGTGAAGGGTGAGGGTGAAGGGTAAGGGTGAAGGGTGAAGGTGTAAGGGAGGGGGAGGGTGAAGGGTGAGGTTAGGGTGAGGGGTGAAGGAGGTGAAGGGTGAGGGGTGAAGGGTGAGGTGAAGGGTGAAGGGTGAGGGTGAAGGGTGAGGGTTAGGTAAATGGTAAAATGGTAGAGACAAATACATTTTAACTCATAGAAGAGAGAGAGAGAGAGAGAGAGAGAGAGATAGAGAGAGAGAGAGAGAGAGAGATTGAGGAGACCAGATGGCAGCATTCTACAACTGACACTTCCTTTCGGCCGACAATATTTCAGTGGGTGGTGGTGGTGGTGGTGGTGGTGGTGGTCAGACAGACAGACAGACAGACAGAATGAGATAGAGAGAAACACCCACACAGAAAGAGACAGGCAGAGATAGAAACAAGCAGACAGACAAACAGAGAATGACAGACAGAGAATGACAGAGACAAAAAGAGAGACAGAGAAAGAGAAACAGACAGAGAGAGAGAGAGAGACATTCAGACAGAAACAGACAGACAGTATCAGAGAGAGACAGAAAGAGAGAGAGAGAGAGAGAGAGAGAGAGAGAGAGAGAGAGAGAGAGAGAGAGAGAGACATTCAGACAGAAACAGACAGACAGTATCAGAGAGAGACAGAAAGAGAGAGAGAGAGAGAGAGAGAGAGAGAGAGAGAGAGAGAGAGAGGAGATATAAAGAGAGAAGGAGGACCATAAATATCGACACCTTCAACACCTGATACAAACTGCCGCTGAGTTGTGAACCTTTTTTCTCGATGACTATTGGCCCACCCTGACCCACCCTGACCCACCTAACCCACCTTGACAACCCTGATCCATCTAGGCTCCACCCCTGACCCAATCCTGACCTACTCTGATCCATCTAGGCTCACCCTGACCCACCCTGATCTACTCTGATCCACCTAGGCCCACCCTGAATATCCTGCCCACTCCTGATCCACACCCTGACTCACTTGACCCACTCCTGATCCACCCCACTCACCCTAATCCACCCTGACCTATTGTGATTAATCTTGATCCGTCCTAACTATTCTTGATCCATCCTGACCCACTCTGATTCACACTGACCCACCCGACTATACTGATCCATCTTGACCACCCTGACCTACTCTGATCCATCTTGACTCCACCCTGATCTACTCCTGACCCACCTTAACTCCCTCCTGACTAACTCCTGATAAATTTGACTACTCCCTAACCACCCTAACCCACACCCTATAGAAATCAATGACTTTCTAACTCCAATTATATACTCCGCCAGGTACCTATGAAATACACCTTCTCCTATGCACCTGTACTCCACCCGGACGGCCTAGAGACATCGACCCTGGAGCTGCGGCTGAGGTTGAGGAAGAGTCACTTCTCGAGGGGCGTCATCGTGCTGAGGTGTAAGGCGACGGTGGCTGCTCTCTATACCCGCAGTGATCATGACTTCTTACAGCTGGAGGGTCGCAAACTGCAGCCCATTGTGTTGGAACAGAGAGACTCCCAGATCAGTGGTGGGGTGTAGGTGTGTGTGGGAGGTGCTGGGTGGGGGTGTAGGGTTGTGTGTGGGGAAGGGATAGTGGGTGGGGGGTGTTAGTGGGGAGTGTGTGTGTGTGTGTGTGAGGAGTGTAGGGTTGTGTGTATATTGGGGGTGTAGGGTGTGTGTGCGTAGGGTGGGGGTGTGTACGTGTGTGTTGAGGTGGTGTGGGATGAGTGTAGGGGTGTGTATATGGGGGGATATAGGGTGGGGATGTAAGGTAGGTGTGTGTGGGGAGGTAGGTGGGAGGGTGTGTGTGGGAGGTTAGGGTGTGTGTTGGGGTGCAGGGTGTGTGTGGGAGGTTAGGGTGTGTGTTGGGGTGCAGGGTGTGTGTGGGAGGTTAGGGTGTGTGTTGGGGTGCAGGGTGTGTGTGTGGTCGCTTCATATTCCATGCAGCGACCCTTCTCGATACTGGCACAAATGAGCGGCCTGAAAGAAGAACTGCCCTTATGGCAAAACAGCTGTCTTGGTATAACATAGCAACCAGTAGTGAGTCCCGGACTCCCAGACGAGGGTCAACTCACAGAACAGGGGTCTGGCTATACCTTCCTCTGGAAGGGTAAGCCTGCTGGGGAGAGAAACCGTATTATGGAGTTGGCTTTGCCAGAGTTGGCAGAGATGCTGACATTTGGCAGGGAATCATAGGGAGAAATGGACTAAGCAAGTGTAATCCCAACGGCCTACTCCTCTTCAGCAAGTGTGCTGCACACAACCTCACTATCACCAATACCTTGCTTAGATAGGCCGACAAGTTCAAGAGTTCGTGGCAACACCCACGATCCAAACACTGGCATCTCATTGACTACATCATTGTCAGAAAAAGAGATCGCCGAGATGTCCTCATCACCCGTGCCATGCGTGGCTCAGACCACTGCGAAACTGATCATCGGCTCGTCAGAGCCAAGCCTCTAGAAGAGGTTTTAACACTAAGCGTTTGGAGGATCCAGCGGTAGCACATGCTTTCAGAGAGCAGCTCGAACATGAGCTGATAAACAACCCGACAACAAACACCCCAAATCCCAGTGCTGAATGGGATATTCTCGACAACTTCATGACAAAAACCTGCAGAGACCCTTGGCCGGGTCGAAAGAATACACCAGGACTGGTCCGATGGAAATGACCCGGCAATCAATGTATTCGTCAATGATAAACGTGCTGCTTTAACTGACTGGCAGAACAACCCTCGGTCTCGGACCAAAGCTGATACCTTCCACAAGAAGAAAGCGGCCGCCCAGCGGGAACTTCGCAATCTAAAGAACGACTGGTTTAAAAATAAAGCATGTGAAACGCAAAAATTTGCAGATCAGCACAAGATGCGTGAATTTTTCAATTCCATTAAAACATTTTATGGGCTAATCACTGGTGGCGCAGTCCTCCTCCACTCATACGACAGTAACTCCCGAATTAAAGACGATGAAGGCATCCTTCAGCACTGGAAAGAGCTCAACCGAAACACCGATGTGGATGTCTTGACTACCCAGCAGGTCCCTCAGCATCCAGAGCTGACCTAACTCAGTTATCTTTCATCCCTGGATGCGGTAGCTACTGCCATCAAACAAATGAAAAATAACAAAGCCTCAGGGCCTGATGGAATCCCAGTCGAGGTGTATAAAGCAGGAGGACCTCTGCTTACCAGCCGTCTCCACTCTCTCCTGGAGAATATATGGGAAAAGGAGGAAATCCCCCAAGCTATTATAGACGCCTCCATTGTCAATATTTATAAGAACAAGAGAGACCGGTCAGACTGTGGCAACTACCGTGGGACCTCGCTGCTGTCTATAGCTGGCAAGATTATCGCCCGAGTCCTCCTGAACAGACTTCTTTCTGAGGTGTAAAACTTCTTCCCTGAATCTCAATGTAGGTTTAGACCATCACCTGGCACCACTGACATGATCTTTGCTGCCCGTCAGGTACAGGAAAAGTGCAGAGAATAGCGTTGTGACCTGTACATGGCTTTCATCGACCTAACCAAAGCCTTCGACTCGGTCAGCTAGGAATCCCTCTGGCGGACTCTCAGCCGTTTTGGCTGCCCATCAAAATCCATCGTCATTGTGTGGCAACTCTACTATGGCATGAACGGCAGTATCCTGCACTGTGGCACCCAGTCTGAGTGAGTTATTCCCCATCCAAACGGGGGTTAAACTAGAGTGTGTACTGGCACCAACTCTTTTCCATTTTCTTGGCTGCCTTCCTTACTCGTGCCAACGCCAATTTAGCCGGCGGGGTGGACATCGAGTACCGGATGAAGGGTCTTTTCAACATAAGACGACTCCAGGCAAAGGTGTCGGCAGCTTCCATTACTGAGCTTCAGTATGCAGACGACCTCACCCTTGTCACTCACACTGAACGTGACCTACAGGAGATCCTGAACACCTACGCAGATGCGTATGCAGACTTCGGCCTTGAGGTGAATGTACGTAAGACTTGATTCTCTTTCAGCCTGCCCCTGGTTCAGCCACACCTTCACCATCCACCCACCTGAACGGTATTACCCTCTATAATGTTACCCACTTTCGGTATCTCGGCTCCCACCTGTCCACCACCGCGGACATCGATGAAGAGATTCAATATCGGATCAGATGTACATCTCAAGCCTTTGGCAGAGTCCAAAGCCGTACCTTAAGCTGCAGGGAGCTGAAATTATCTACAAAATTACACGTATATCGAGCAGTGGTCCTCCCCACCCTATTATATGGCAACGAGACATCGGTCCCTTGAAAACTTTCACCAACGTTGTCCACGTTCCATCCTCCAAGCTCGCTGGGAAGACTAGAGAAGAAATGCTAGTATTCTTGCTGGTACCAACTGTAGAAGCATCGAGGCTACCATTATCCATGATCAACTATGCTGGACTAGCCATATTACCCACATGGACGACAGTAGACTGCTAAAGCAGCTACTTTACCATCACCTAACGATTAGTAAGCGTAATGCTGGCTGGCACCTGATAAGTATAAGGATAGTCTTAAGACAAACCTGAAAAAGTGCCAAATCGACCCCATCACCTGGGAGACGATTACTCCATACTGTAACGCTTGGAGGAGCACCACACGGGAAGGTGTCAATACTTTCGAGTTAGCCCGACTGCATAACAAGGAAAGACACTACCGCTGCGCCTCCCACACTAGATGTAGCCCCACACATGTGCAACATCTGTGAAGGACCCTGCCAATCCCGTATCGGCTTCTTCAGTCACCTCAGAACTCACCAACGAAGGTGACATCCTTAATAACTCATATCATTGTATAATAGCTGGATGGTCGTCATACTCGATTCCGAGTGACAGCAAAGTAGTAGTAGTCTGTGTGTGTGTAATAATAATAATAAACGGTTTATTAATAGAGTTGCAGCCGGTGGCTGAAAATATACAGACTTACATTTGATTTACACATAATGATATAATATGCATTGAACACATTTACAGGGCTGTACAGTACATAAATCAGGAGTTGTTTATTATTTTAACAATAGATGGGATGGTGCTGTTCTTATATCTATCGGTGCGGGCTCTTATGGGCTGAATTTTGTTGTAGTGGCGGACTGCGCGTGTGTGTGTGTGTGTGTGTGTGTGTGTTAGTATAAGGGATACGCACACACAAGACACTGAACTCTGCCATCTTCCAGTAAACATGGGTCAAGGTGTGACCAGCTGGCCGCATCTGGTGCTGCTGCTGCCACTTACGCTACTGTCGACCACCTGGCATTGATGGCCAAGCGACACTACATAGGCAAGAGGTACTGTTGGGCATGACGCACTGATTGGGCAAGAGGAATTGATTGGGCAAGAGGAACTGATTGGGCAAGCGGCACTGTCCTAGCCAACGTCAGTGTCAGCCAGCCTCTCCTAGCCAACGTCAGCGTCAACCAGCTCTCCTAGCCAACTGATGGTCTTGGTGTTTTTAAATTATTCTTGCTTCAAGTCGCCATTAGCGTTCAGGATCCGAGAGTAAGCCTACCCCTGTTAGTGCTTTGGGATGACGTCATCACTCTCTGACCAGTCACAGCTCTAGGACTGCAGTAGAGGGAAGACATCACCACTCTACTACGGTCAGGGAGTTGTGAATGGCCAGAGGGTGATGACCGTAGCGGAGTGATGATGTCATCACTCTCTGGCCATCCGTAGCTCTCTGACTGTATCAGAGTGGGACCGTCATCACTCTTTGTCCATTCACAGTTATTTGACAACAGCTGAGTGGTGACGTCATCACTCAGGCCATTCACAGGTCTCACTGCAGGAGAGTAGTGACGTCATCACTCAGGCCATTCACAGCTCGCCGACACTAACTTAGTGGTGACGTCATGGAAGTTTTTTATGCTACCAACCCCGCAGTCCCCCTACACCCCCTCAGGACTACCAACCTCATAACCCTTACAGGATTACCAACCCTACAACTCCCCAGAACTACCAAACTTACAATTTTCCTCAGGGCTACCATATCCCACAAACCCCCTCAGGGCTACCAACTCCACAACCTCTCCTGGATCATCAACAACCCAACAAGGGCTACCAGTCTCAACCCTTCCTCAGGGCTACCATCCCACCAAGCCTTCCCTCCCAGGGCTACCAACCCACCAAACCTTCCCTCCCAGGGCTACCAACCCACCAAACCTTCCAAGGGCTATTTCCTACCCTCAGGGCCTCTCCTAGCCAACGTCAGCGTCAACCAGCTCTCCTAGCCAACTGATGGTCTTGGTGTTTTTAAATTATTCTTGCTTCAAGTCGCCATTAGCGTTCAGGATCCGAGAGTAAGCCTACCCCTGTTAGTGCTTTGGGATGACGTCATCACTCTCTGACCAGTCACAGCTCTAGGACTGCAGTAGAGGGAAGACATCACCACTCTACTACGGTCAGGGAGTTGTGAATGGCCAGAGGGTGATGACCGTAGCGGAGTGATGATGTCATCACTCTCTGGCCATCCGTAGCTCTCTGACTGTATCAGAGTGGGACCGTCATCACTCTTTGTCCATTCACAGTTATTTGACAACAGCTGAGTGGTGACGTCATCACTCAGGCCATTCACAGGTCTCACTGCAGGAGAGTAGTGACGTCATCACTCAGGCCATTCACAGCTCGCCGACACTAACTTAGTGGTGACGTCATGGAAGTTTTTTATGCTACCAACCCCGCAGTCCCCCTACACCCCCTCAGGACTACCAACCTCATAACCCTTACAGGATTACCAACCCTACAACTCCCCAGAACTACCAAACTTACAATTTTCCTCAGGGCTACCATATCCCACAAACCCCCTCAGGGCTACCAACTCCACAACCTCTCCTGGATCATCAACAACCCAACAAGGGCTACCAGTCTCAACCCTTCCTCAGGGCTACCATCCCACCAAGCCTTCCCTCCCAGGGCTACCAACCCACCAAACCTTCCCTCCCAGGGCTACCAACCCACCAAACCTTCTTTCCCAGGTTTCACCAATCCACCAAACCTTCCCTCAGGGCTACCAACCCACCAAACCTTCCTGGGGCTACCAACCCACCAAACCTTCCTACCAGGGCTACCAGCCACCAAACCTTCCTACCAGGGCTACCAACCCACCAAACCTTCCTACCAGGGCTACCAACCCACCAAAACTAACCTTCCCTCGGGGCTACCAACCCCACCAAACCTTCTTTCCCAGGGGCTACCAACCCCACCAAATCAGCCTCCCGGGGCTACCAACCCACCAATCCTTCCTCCCAGGGCTACCAATCCACCAAACCTTCCCTCAGGGCTACCAACCCACAAACCTTCCCAGGGCTACCCCAAACCTTCCCTCCCAGGGCTACCAAAATCCTTCCCTCCCAGGGCTACCAATCCACCAAACCTTCCCTCCCAGGGCTACCAACCCACCAAACCTTCCCTCCCAGGGCTACCAACCCACCAAAACTTCCCACCCAGGGCTACCAACCCACCAAACCTTCCTACCCAGGGCTACCAACCCACCAAACCTTCCACCAGGGCTACCAATCCACCAATCCTTCCCTCCCAGGGGCTGCAATCCACCAAACCTTCCCTCCCAGGGCTACCAACCCACCAAACTTCCTCCCAGAATACCAATCCACCAAACCTTCCCTCCCAGGGCTACCAACCCACCAAACCTTCCCACCCAGGGCTACCAATCCACCAACCTTCCCTCCCAGGGCTACCAATCCACCAAACCTTCCCTACCAGGGCTACCAACCCACCAAACCTTCCCTCCCAGGGCTACAATCCACCAAACCTTCCCTCCCAGGGCTACCAATCCACCAAACCTTCCCTCCCAGGGCTACCAATCCACCAAACCTTCCCTCCCAGGGCTACCAATCCACCAAACCTTCCCTCCCAGGGCTACCAACCCACCAAACCTTCCCTCCCAGGGCTACCAACCCACCAAACCTTCCCACCCAGGGCTACCAACCCACCAAACCTTCCTACCAGGGCTACCAACCTCTCATAACTCGTACAGACACACTCGCTAGTTATCGCTACAAGTATAGATATATGTATATTATTTATATGTTGGTACGCCTGTGTGAGACGAGATATGTATTCTTGAGTATGTTGTATATGTATATGTTGAATTTGTTGTATATGTAAATACTAATATATATACAGTATATATGTATGTATGTGTGTATGTATGTATGTATGTATTGAGCACATATACACTCCAGTCATCACCCGGAGTGTTTACGCTATTGTTATGTTGACATGTAGGTTTATACATGGTCTGCCACACAACCACACGTAACAACCACACAACCACACGTACCACAAACACACAACCCAACACATAACAACCACAACCACACGTAACAACCACAACCACACGTAACAACCACAACCACACGTGACAACCACACCACAACCACACGTTACAACCACAACCACACCGTAACAACCACAACCACACGTGACACCACCACAACCACACATTGTAACCTAACCACAACCAAACACGTGACATACCCACACGTAACAACCACTCAGCCACACAAGTGACCAACCACACGTAACAACCACAACCGCACGTAAACACAACCACAACCATGTCACATAACAACCACAACCACACGTAACAACCACAACCACACGTAACAACCACAACCACACGTAACAACCACAAACACATGTAACAACCACAACTACACGTAACAACTACAACCACACATAACAACCACTCGTTTCACAAGATTATTTTGGTTAAAATGGTAAAATTATTTGGGTACAGTAATATAATTTGTATGTTGATTAGGTTACGTTACGTTAGCTTTGGTTTGGTTAGGTTAGGTTAGGCTAGGTTAAATTAGGTTAGATTAGGTTAGATTAGGTTAGATTAGGTAAGGTTAGGTCAGATTAGGCTAGGTTAAATTAGGTTTTATTAGGTTAGGTTAGGTTAGATTAGGTTAGATTAGGTTAGATTAGGTTAGGTTAGGTTAGGTTAGGTTAGGTTAGATTAGGTTAGGTTAGGTTAGGTTAGGTTAGGTTAGGTTAGGTTAGGTTAGGTTAGGTTAGGTTAGGTTAGGTTAGGTAAGGTTAGGTTAGGTTAGGTTAGGTTAGGTTAGGTTAGGTTAGGTTAGGTTAGGTTAGGTTAGGTTAGGTTAGGTTTACTATATTATGTTAGACACACACAGGATACTTTTATGGCACTTACCACACACTTACCACACTTGCAACACACTTACAACACACTTACAACACACGTACACATTCCTAAGAATCGTACACATATCAAGCTCGACGACAAAGATGTACAGAAGAAGAAAAAAATACGTACATAGACAAAAACGTAATACACACACACACACACACGTACACGTACACGTACAGAACATTTTTAGCAACAGACGAAGGAACTCACAACGAACTATGAAAAGTAATAATAATAATGATCTAGAAGAAAAATGATAATAACAACAATAATAATAAAATAATAATAATAATAATAATAATAATAATAATAATAACAACAATAACAACGGTCATTACTAATTAAATTTCAGTTCTCAAGGTTTTATTTCATTAACTAAAACTCGCTTCAATAAACCTAAGAAATTATGTAGTAGTTTTATTCCATGCTCAAACTGCCTCATACTGGGTACTGCCTTATACTGGGTACTGCCTCATACTGGGTACTGCCTCATACTGGGTACTGCCTCATACTGGGTACTGCCTCATACTGGGTACTGCCTCATACTGGGTACTGCCTCTCTCTTTAATGTGTTTTAGACGAGAATAAAATTAGGCAAGTTTTCACGCCGGAGATGTTGTTATAACTGGTAATCCCTCTTTCACTTCCTTCCTTCCCCCCCTTTCTCTCTCTCATTTCCCTCCATCCTCCCCCTCTCTCACTTCCCTCCCTCCGTCCTCCCTCTCTCACTTCCTCTCTCCTTCCCCTCTCTCTCACTTCCCTCCCTCCTTCCTCCTCTCTCACTTCCCTCCCTCCTTCCTCCCTCCCTCTCACTTCCCCCCTCCTCCCCCTCTCTCACCCTCCTCTCTCCACTTCCCTTCCTTCCCCCCCTCCCCCTCTCTCACTTCCCCCCCTTCCCCCTCTCTCTCACTTCCCTCCCCTCCTTCCTCCCCTCTCACTTCCCTCCCCTCCTTCCTCCCTCTCTCCTTCCCTCCCTTCTCCCCCTCTCTCACTTCCCTTCCCCCCCTCTCTATCACTTCCCTTCCCCTTCCTCTCCTCTCTATCCATTCTTTCCTCACGCTCTCTCATTCTCTTCCTCCATACCTCATCTTCCTACCTTCCTCTCTCCTCTTTCCTTCCTCCTCCCTTCCTTCCTCCTTTCCTGATTTGTCCTGAAAGCTGGGAGGTACTGGTGAACTGGGGGTACTGGTGGACTGGGTGGTACTAGGTGGACTGGGTGGTACAGGTGGACTGGGTGGTACTGGTGGTGGGTGACTACTGGTGGTACTGGTGGACTGGGTGGTACAGGTAGACTGGAGGTACTGGTAGACTTGGTGGACTGGTGGACTGGGTGGTACAGGTGGACTGGGTGGTACTGGTGGACTGGGTGGACTGGTGGACTGGGTGGTACTGGTGGACTGGGGGGTACAGGTGGACGGTCTCCACAGGATAAACAATGGTGTCTCGACCACAGACAAAGGGAAAGTTCCGTAACAGTGACAAGCGGCAGAGAGAGAGAGAGAGGGAGGGAGGTGAGGAACTATTTAAACAATGGTTCTCTCCACCACTTCCACTATCATCACCACCATCCCCACTTCCACCACTACAACCACTTGCACCATCACCACCACCATCGCAAAAATTATTACTTACCATCATCACCACTGCCCCTGGTCAGGACGGAGTATCGTTAGACTACTAAGGTGTGTGCCGGGCAATCCATTATTAGCATTATACAATATGACTCATGCTGAGGGCCAACTACCCACATCATGGGCCAACAGTGTCTCCCACCCCACCCACGGTGATGAAATTAGTCCCACTTTGTTCAGTGTTTTTATGGACACAATATTAAAGTCAATCCTAGACAGCCTCAGCAATATTACTGTTAGCTATGCAGATGACATTCTTATACATACTAAAACTCATCATGAAATACAAACCACTCTGGACCATGTACAGGCAGCGTGTGATAACCTTAGTCTGGTAACCATAAACACGGCCCCGCCAAGTTCAGGATAGGTAACAACACTATTGACTATGTTTCTTCTTTTAAACATCTCGGTGTCTCAGTTCCTTGTACCTCACCTGCCATACAACAACTAACCCACCAATGTACTGACAGACTGAGTCCTTTAGATTTGCAGCGGGGTACACCATACACTCTGGCGATTAACAAATAAGAAAAATTGCAAAATAAAGCCGCCAGAATTGTCCCTGGCTGTCCCATGAGCACTAAAGTACTTACTATGAGGAAAGAACTTGGTATACCCAGTGTCAGAGATTGAATAACTTAACGTCATGTTGGTCTTGAAGATAGAATTTACGAGTCCTGGGACTGGTGAGTCTTAAATGGATCCAAACTACAGCGACACATGAGAGGGGATCTGAGACAAGCTGTACAAAGGTGAGACAACAGCGCTTCTTGCAACCCTGGCGGACAGTTCCCTACGATAGCACAATACCTACAGTATACACCTCGGCCACCACTACCAACACCATCACCACCTCGGGCATTACCACTACTGCCACCACCACCACTACCACCACCACCACTGTCCACCACCAGCGCCACCTCCACCTCAGCCACCACCAGCACCAACCACCACCACCACTACCACCACCACTGCCACCACCACCACCAGCACCTCCACCTCGGCCACCACCAGCATAACCACCACCACCACCACCACCACTACCACCACCAGCAATTTTAAATGAATTACACGCTCGGTACTGAGGTGTTTTGAACCGTGATAAGCGTGTTATCTCTCTCTCTCTCTCTCTCTCTCTCTCTCTCTCTCTCTCTCTCTCTCTCTCTCTCTCTCTCTCTCTCTCCATCAACTAGGGAAGAACAGGAAATACTGTAGCGTATTTTTGTACTTCCGACCCCATTTTGTCGAACACATCCTGGGAGAAAAACAACCACTGTATTTCTTAATGCAGGATGAACAACGTCTGTGATTCCATCTGTGTCGTAGCTTCAGTTAACATGAAAATATAACGAAGGAACCTTAGTGGTAGTGGCTAGGGGGTGGTAGTAACCAGGGGGTGGTAGTGGCTAGGGGTTGGTAATAACCAGAGGGTGGTAGTGGCCAGGGGGTGGTAGTAACTAGGGGGTGGTAGTGGCCAGGGGGTGGTAGTAACTAGGGGGTGGTAGTGGCCAGGGGTGGTAGTGGCCAGGTGATGGCAGTAGCCAGGGGTGATGTGGCAGGTGAGTGGTAGTGGCCAGAAGTAGTGACAAGGGGGGTGGAGTGGCAGGGGGTGATAGTGGCCAGGGGGTGGTAGTGGACAGGAGGTGGTAGTGGCCAGGGGTGATGAGTGGCCAGGAGGTGGTAGTGAATAAGGGGTGATAGTGGCCAGGAGGGTGGTAGTGGCCAGGGGGTGGTAGTGGACAGGGTGGTAGTGGCTAGAGGGATGGTAGTGACCAGGGGTGGTAGTGGCCAGGGGGGTGATAGTGGCCAGGGGTGGTGGTGGCCAGGGGTGGTAGCCAGGGGGTGAGTGTGGGGGTGGTAGTGGCCAGGGGGATGGTAGTGGCCGGTGTGGTGGCGGTGGCCAAGGGGTGATAGTGGCCAGGGGGGTGGTAGTGGCCAGGAGGTAGTAGTAGGCCCCAGGGAGCAGTCAGCACTTCGACAGTTTCTTGTTGCAATAAACTTCAGGTCTTTTGGTTCTTGTCTCTCAACCCCACCTAACCTAACATCACCAATTCCACTTGACTCAGAGAAAATCATATATCTTCAAACTTTTTCTCCATTAGCAAGCTTTAAAAAAAATGCCTTATTTAGGTACCTAATTCTTGAATTATCATAAGTTTTAGTTGAGGTTTTCAGGATTAGTGCATCCAAGTCCTGTTCAAGCTTCTTCTGAGAAAGGTAACCGCGTAATACACGAGTAATGTCAGTCCACAATGCGGGATCCTCCGAAAATGTCACTGTTTGTCCTTCAAAAGACTCACTAAAACGCTCTCACTTACTAGTTGATAATACCCAAAGAGAGTAAAGTATAGTAATATTATAAACAAAGATAAAAGAAAATGTAAACACAGTTATATATATTAAGTATTATACTAACGATACTAATTATTATCAACTTCGGATAAAGTCATTACCAATTTGAGGTTTAGTACTAAATAATGCTTCATCATTACCAAACATATTTGCATTACCAAATTTGCCCCAATTTCGTAATGAATCATGTCAGATGGCAGCCCTGCTTGATTCTGTTTTCTTCTACTCCAGTTAAGGGGAAACTTAGCTAGGCGTCATAAGGGGTGCAAAATTTATCTCTGTAAGGCTTTAGAATATGAATGAGCATGCTGATAAAATATGCTATTTAGTTTATAACCGTTATAATAATCCTCATAAAAAAATTATTTTACGAAGGATTTCATCCATTTTCAAACAGGCATATTTTCTGAGGGCCACGTTCGTCATAGTAAATCCGGCCCTGACCTTGGGACCCCATTGGGCGCAGGAGCCCTTGGCCAGGGCCTACCTTACCTATGCTTTAATCCGGCCCTGCACCTCACCTAACTTAACCCCACCTCACCTTTCTGGATATTGCCATGTTACTTTATTTAAGTTACGCATACTATTATTACGTTTTCTGTATATTAACTTTTAGAGAAAATGTTTATATATGGTAAACTCAACTAAACTTACATATGATTAGTTATGAATCTTGGGGGAAGTTTATATGTCGAGTATGTGTTGGTGGAGATAGTTTGTCAACCTTTTGTTTACGGAGGTCTCTCTGTGATGAATAAAATCGTCTGGCATTAACCAAATAAAATATCAAAGTTAAGAAAATGTTCCATTACCTTTATAAGTCTCTCGTACGTCCCCATCTGGACTACTGTATAGGGGCAGGGAAACCTTACCTCCAGAAAGACTTAACATCCCTAGTAAAGGTGCAACACAGACTGACTAAGATGATGACTGAACTATTATCTCCATTATCCGGGTAGACTTAAGACTAACAACTCTTCAGACAAGACACATCAGGGCAGATCTCAGAGAGACATTCACAGTCTTGAGAGTGATGGACAACGTGAACCCAGACATTATATGTGATGTCACGCACCACCAACAAGAGGGGTACAAGCTCCCCAACATGTCCTGCTGAACCAACATAAGGAAATACTTCTGCACACACAGGCTGGTAGACCTATGGAACAGTCTACCAGTTTAAGCTGTGGTGGTGGTAGACCTATGGAACAGTCTACCAGTTTAAGCTGTGGTGGTGGTAGACCTATGGAACAGTACCAGTTCAAGCTGTGGTGGTGGTAGACCTATGGAACAGTCTACCAGTTTAAGCTGTGGTGGTGGTAGACCTATGGAACAGTCTACCAGTTCAAGCTGTGGTGGTGGTAGACCTATGGAACAGTCTACCAGTTCAAGCTGTGGTGGTGGTAGACCTATGGAACAGTCTACCAGTTCAAGCTGTGGTGGTGGTAGACCTATGGAACAGTCTACCAGTTCAAGCTGTGGTGGTGGTAGACCTATGGAACAGTCTACCAGTTCAAGCTGTGGTGGTGGTAGACCTATGGAACAGTCTACCAGTTCAAGCTGTGGAACCAAGAACAGTACTGAGCATCAAAGTAGCCCTAAACAAGATTATCAAGAACAATGGAGGGATCCTACACTGGCCACTGGCTCCTTCCCTCGGCTTGGCCACCTCCAGTGGATGGCCATTAGGTAAATAAGGTTAATAAACGACGTGATCAATCAATCATTTATTTCTAATTTTGTTTTACTATTCAACTGTGTACAGTACTGCGGTTCCTTCGTTTGATATGGTCAGTTGTAGCCCTTTCCATCTTGGTTGTGATAATTATATTTGAAGATCATAATGGAAATAATTGCTTTACCTTTTTGTGTTTACCTCACTTACATTATTTACACTATTATGTAGAGTGGTGTCGTAATAGGAAGCAGGTAGTAGGCAGCTACCAAACAAGGAAGTTCTACCGCCTGGGAAGATATTGGAAGCATAATGAATTGAAACAGACTTGACCAACACTGGAGCGGGTTCAGGGACATTCAGGAGCCGGTGCATGCCCAGTACTTGCCAACAGTGCGTGACAGAGACGTGACCGATCGCCCAAGCGGCTAACGAGTCGATCAGTGGTGAAGAAGATAAAAGTAAAAGATAATAATAACAGTATTAACATGGCTGAGCCAGTTGAGAACCTGAGCTGTATTGTCAAATGGTAGACCCTACTGTCATATGGCATCACAAAAATTGTGACCAAGTTCCAGGTTGCTGATCTAACTTTCTGCCTCATTTACACTCAATTGCGTGGTCTCAATTGCTTCTCTTAATATTGACAACACAATATATATATTGCTTCTCACTCTTGATTTTTTTTTTGTTATTTATGATGCAATTTAAATTCTTCTAGTGCCCCTCCTCCCCCTCCTCCCCAGGTCCCGATGTGGGTCGGTGACCGGTGCTCGGGTGAGCTAAATCACTATCAAAAATATTATTTTTTACTATTATCTATTATTATAATTATACTCATCTATTTTTATATACTTTTATATACTTTTATATACTATTCCGTACTCATGTACTCTTATATAATATTACGTACTCCTATGTACTCTCATGTATTATATAATAAGGTGTGTCAAAAATTTCACCTGTCCAATAGTGATTGGAGGTTGGCAACTGAGTCGTTCAGAAAAATTTGTTAAATTATTATGATCTAAGAGAAAATACAAATAAGGGTTAATATAATTTCTTATAAATATGTTATATTAAATTGTTTTAGTAACTTTAAGTTACTAAATAGAGCAGAATTTAAAATATTGTAGTACTGTAATACTGATTTCCAATTGGAAAGGTTGGTATCTGTGCAGCAGCCGCCGCACGGGCTGTTTAAGTGTTTCTCTACAGCAGAGCCAAAGGCAGAGCCGTCCATACTTCAACACAAACATGTCATTCAAAGATAATCCCAAAATTTCAGATTTCTGTTTATTATGACGATATTTGAGGGTTACATACCAATACACTTCACGGCTAAGGGTAAATATTGTTATTGTAACATGTCATCATAATTTTTTTTCCGACAACTAATCTAGTAATTTAAATACAGTATTTATAAGACGTTCAGCCGTGGGGTAGGGGGTCAATCATACTCATATTGAGACAAATGAAGTGCTTTTTCTTCTTGTTGGAAGGCTTCAGGGGAATTGTATATACTTAATCTAATTATTAGTATTATGGTTCAGTTAAGGATGTCCTGATAATACATTTTTAACATAGTAACAATGTGCTGGGATTCAGTAACTCCAGGTCGTTTACGTTTTTATCGTCGTGCAGAACAACCAGACAACACCTGCAACAGTTAAGTATTTCTCTGTGTTATTATACTAGTTGTCTACACTTATAATTTAACTTTAATGGGAGATATTTAGTTACCATCTGAAATTTTGGTGTTAGTGTTACTTTAAGTATGTAATAAGTGAAGGAGTTTGGCATTTATTAGTAATTATCATTTACCTATTTATATTACTTACTAAATAATTAATAACTTTCAATACTATAGTTTATTTGGGGAGGTTAACATTGCACTTTACTATATAACCTATTCAGTTACTCTCAGGATCCATTAATCAATGTTAATCAATCAATCAATCAATCAATGCTCCGAGACATCTTACACTGATATGTGAGAGTGCTAGTTCCTTTAATTATATTTTTCTTATTGAGGATTGTTTCATATTATTAACATTCATCTCCAATTCTGCTATCTCTATCTCTCTCTTCACACCTGACTGAATACACATATGACTCTTCTTACACGTATAATATACCTCTAGTAGTTATATAGTTATGTATTATACCTGACCGTCATTGATCAGCTGAGTCGGGGTGAAGAAGACGTCATGTTACATTAGTCACCAAGAGCGACTCCTATACCTGAAATTCGCAAGTTGGTGCTGTGACTATTTGACTCCTGACACCTGTAGCCGCGGGGTCTCTCTCTCACCCTCTTACTCTCTCTCTCTCTCTCTTGCGGAATAGAAAATACCAATGTTTATCTTATTTCTCCCTTAATTATATAGACGGTCATCATTCTAGCCACGTTCCAGGGGGGGTTTAAAAGTGATCACCGGTGGCCCCTTGGAGCGCCTGTATCCCCCACCCCCCCACCCCCCTCAAGTCAAGTTATCACAAGCTCTTGGAAGAGGAACCAGAGAGCACTCGGGTACGCCTGCGCCCTCCACCGGAATCAATAAAGAGCGCGCGTGGAGCAGTTGAAGGTTCAGTTTGTTGGTGAACGTGTGGCAGCCAGGACGTGCCCCCTAAGGATGTAAACAGAAACGCCACCAGACCCACCGCGTTACTACCACCTTCCGACAGGTTAGTGGCGCATGGTGAACAGACTTACAAGAGAGAGATAAAGGGGTGTACTGACGAAGGGTCCTGGATTTCAATACCTGAAGGGAGAAGAGAGAGGAGGTAAGGTAAGGTGTTTGAACTAGGCCTACGAGGGGTGGGAGGGGAGGTGGTGATCAATGGCCCGGTGTGGTAGTAGAGGATATCTGCCGTGCCACCATAACAAGCACTGGCCACGGAGGGTGATGGTGGTACGTGTTAACCTCTTCATACCAATGACTCACAGCCTATCCACCCACCATCCATATACCAACCACCCAGCCCACCCGCCCTCCACATACCACCCACCCAGCCCACCCGCCCTCCACATACCACCCACCCAGCCCACCCACCCTCCACATACCACCCACCCAACCGCCCCTCATATACGATCCAACTCACCCCAAAATTACATAACCTAATCCATCTATAACATACCACCGACCCTTCCTATCCCACCCAGCCCACCCTCAACACGACACCCACCCACCCACCCACCTATACCCACATTAATTGACCCTAATATGAGTACTACCACAATTGTTATAACCACCACAATTATTGGGATTAACAACTAAAAGATAAATAACAAGAAAAATCATTTAAGTGTTGACAGCAGCAAAACAAACACAATAACAACAATAATAATCACAGCTACAATAACAACAACTAAAATGTATTTATATTCATCGTTGCTAAATCACTATTTTATTCTGTTAGATTATTTTTCAGAGGTAAATTTTGGTTGTTTACCTGTGACTTGTTGATTAATTACCTGTGACCTGTTGATTGTTTACCTGTTACCTGTTGATTGTTTACCTGTGACCTGTTGATTGTTTACCTGTTACCTGTTGATTGTTTACCTGTGACCTGTAGATTATTTACCTCTGATCTGTTGATTATGTTTACCTGTGACCTGTTGATTATGTTTACCTGTGAGCTTGTGATTATGTTTACCTGTGACTTGTTGATTGTTTACCTGTTACCTGTTGATTGTTTACCTGTGACCTGTTGATTATTTACCTGTGACCTGTTGATTATGTGATACCTGTGACCTGTGACCTGTTGATTATTGATACCTGTGACCTGTTGATTATTTACCTGTGACCTGTTGATTATTTACCTGTGACCTGTTGATTATGTTTACCTGTGACCTGTTGATTATGTTTACCTGTGACCTGTTGATTATGTTTACCTATGACCTGTTGATTATGTTTACCTGTGACCTGTTGATTATGTTTACCTGTGACCTGTTGATTATGTTTACCTATGACCTGTTGATTATGTTTACCTGTGACCTGGAGCTGTTACCTGTATATTGTGACCTACAGGATGGGTACGGGGTGGGCGGTGGCCGTGACAGTGGTGGGGTCTGTGGTCATCGCGGGGCTGCTGGGGCTGCTGGCTAGACACTTGGGGCTGTGGACGTGGGCGGTGACGTGGGTGAAGGCGGCCACTGAGGAGAAGATGCATCTGTGTCGCTCTCAACGAACTACCAGTACCCGTAGTTACATGGTGAGTCGTTACTACCTGGTGAGTCATTACCGCCTGGTGAGTCATTACCGCCTGGTTAGTTATTACTGCCTGGTGAGTTATTACTACCTGGTGAGTCATTACTACCTGGTGAGTCATTACTACATGGTGAGTTATTACTACCACGTGAGTCATTACTACCTGGTGAGTCATTACTGCCTGGTGAGTTATTACCGCCTGGTGAGTTATTACTGCCTGGTGAGTCATTACTACCTGGTGAGTTATTACTACCTGGTGAGTCATTACTACATGGTGAGTTATTACTACCACGTGAGTCATTACATGGTGAGTCGTTACTACCTGGTGAGTCATTACCGCCTGGTGAGTCATTACCGCCTGGTTAGTTATTACTGCCTGGTGAGTTATTACTACCTGGTGAGTCATTACTACCTGGTGAGTCATTACTACATGGTGAGTTATTACTACCACGTGAGTCATTACTACCTGGTGAGTCATTACTGCCTGGTGAGTTATTACCGCCTGGTGAGTTATTACTGCCTGGTGAGTCATTACTACCTGGTGAGTTATTACTACCTGGTGAGTCATTACTACATGGTGAGTTATTACTACCACGTGAGTCATTACTACCTGGTGAGTCATTACTGCCTGGTGAGTTATTACTACCTGGTGAGTCATTACTACCTGGTGAGTTATTACTACCTGGTGAGTGTGTTATTACTACCTGGTGAGTCATTACTACCTAGTGAGTCATTACTACCTGGAGTCATTATTGCCTGGTGAGTCATTACTACCTGGAGAGTTATTACTGCCTGGAGTCATTACTACTTGGTGAGTTATTACTGCTTGGTGAGTCATTACTGCCTGGTGAGTTATTACTATCTGGTGAGTCATTACTGCCTGGTGAGTCATTACTGCCTGGTGAGTTATTAATACCTGGTGAGTCATTACTGCCTGGTGAGTCATTACTACCTGGTGAGTTATTACTACCTGGTGAGTCATTACTACCTGGTGAGTCATTACTGCCTGATGAGTCACTACTGCTACTACTACTACCTAGTGAGTCATTACTGCCACTACTACTACTACCTGGTGAGTCAATACTGCCAGTACTACTACTATCTAGTGAGTTATTACTGCCGGGTGAGTCACTACTGCCACTACTTCTACCTGCTGAGTCATTACTATCACTGCTACTATTATCTGGTGAGTCACTGCTACCACTAGTACTACCTGGTGAGTCACTACTGGCAGTACTGCTACTACCTGGTGAGTCATTAATGCCAGTTCTACTACTACTATTACCTGGTGAGTCATTAATGCCAGTTCTACTACTACCTGGTGAGTCATTACTGCCACATACTACTATTACCTGGTGAGTCATTACTGCCACTACTACTACTACCTGGTGAGTCATTACTGCCAGTACTACTACTACCTGGTGAGTCATTACTGCCAGTACTACTACTACTATTACCTGGTGAGTCATTAATGCCAGTACTATTACTACCTGGTGAGTCATTACTGCCAGTACTACTACTACTACTACCTGGTGAGTCATTACTGCCAGTACTATTACTACCTGGTGAGTCATTACTGCCAGTACTACTACTACTATTACCTGGTGAGTCATTACTGCCAGTTCTACTACTACCAGGTGAGTCATTTGCTAGCACTTTACTACTATTACCTGGTGAGTCATTACTGCCACTACTACTACTACCTGGTGAGTCATTACTGCCAGTACTACTACTACTATTACCTGGTGAGTCATTAATGCCAGTACTATTGCTACCTGGTGAGTCATTACTTAGTACTACTACTACTACCTGGTGAGTCATTACTGCCAGTACTACTACCTGGTGAGTCATTACTGCCAGTACTACTACTACCTGGTGAGTCATTACTACCAGTACTACTACTACCTGGTGAGTCACTAGTACTAATACCTGGTGAGTCACCACTGCCACTACTACTACTACCTGGTGAGTCACTACTATCACTGCTACTACTACCTGGTGAGTCATTATTGTCAGTAATACTACTATTACTACTACCTGTTGAGTCATTATTGCCAGTACTACTACTACTACCTGGTGAGTCATTATTGCCAGTACTACTACTACTACCTGGTGAGTCATTATTGCCAGTACTACTACTATTACTACTACCTGTTGAGTCATTATTGCCAGTACTACTACTACTACCTGGTGAGTCATTATTGCCAGTACTACTACTACTACCTGGTGAGTCATTATTGCCAGTACTACTACTACTACCTGGTGAGTCATTATTGCCATTACTACTACTATCTGGTGAGTCACTACTACCATTACTACTACTATCAGGTGGAGTCACTACTATCACTCCTACTATCTAGTGAGTCATTATTACCTGGTGAGTCACTACTACTACTACTACCTGGTGAGTCATTATTACCTGGTGAGTCATTACTAACACTACTACTACGACTACCTGGTGAGTCATTATTACCTGGTGAGTCATTACTACCTGGTGATTCATTACTACCTGGCGAGTCTTTATTACATAGTGAGTCATTTCTATCACTACGACTACCTGGTGAGTCATTATTACCTGGTTAGTCATTACTACCTGGTGAGTCGGTACTACCGGTAAAGGGGTGTGTGAAACTCACTAACTCCATTGGCTGGCTAACACTATAACTGTGCGGTGATTGGCTAACCTAATAGTTTGATAATGACCCTCAACTACCACACGCAAATCCATTAACGACCCTAACTACTTCCTCCTTCCCCAACAGTTCGATAACGACCTGGACTGGATCGGACTGTGGCCACGAACTGGGTCGTACAAACGCTTCACTAATCTGGACGACCTAACAAGTGTACCTACCGTAGACGACCCCGCGGTACGACCTGTTGAGGAACCTGACCTGCCACCCCAGCCCCTACGACCTGCCCCAGCACCCCCACCTAGGTTAGTTCTTGATCTGAGGTTCTTGAAGAGTTCTGAACACACTAGAAAAAAAAATCCTTAAATTCTGAACACACTAGAAAAAAAAGTCCTTAAAATCTGAACACACTTAAAAAAAAGTCCTTAAATTCTGAACAAACTTAAAAAAACGTCCTTAGATTCTGAACAAACTTAAAAAAAGTCCTTAAATTCTGAACACACTAGAAAAAAAGTCCTTAAATTCTGAACAAACTAGAAAAAAAAATCCTTAAATTCTGAACAAACTTAAAAAAAGTCCTTAAATTCTGAACAAACTTAAAAAAAAGTCCTTAAAAATATCCTTAATTAAATTCTACCCAAATATTATTATTTTTTAAGTAAGACTCAAGAAACGGACAATAAGTCAATAATAAAATTTAATTAAGGTTCACAAAAGGTTAGAAATACGTCATTAATGATATATCTTACAATTATTTTAGCTAAACAAATTAATTAGTAATGGAAATATATAATAATTCTTTAAATATGATAAAAATAAATCATTAAGTTAAAATACATATTGATTATATCCTTACCTAGAGCTCTTGATTTTTTTTTATGATTTCCCACTCATATCCCACTCTACACCTCTTGCATCCCCCTCTACACCTCTCGCATCCCACTCTACACCTCTCGCATCCCCCTCTACACCTCTCGCATCCCCCTCTACACCTCTCGCATCCCCCTCTACACCTCTCGCATCCCCACTCTACACCTCTCGCTCCCCCTCTACACCTCTCACATCCCCTCTACACCTCTCGCATCCCACTCTACACCTCTCGCATCCCACTCTACACCTCTCGCATCCCACTCTACACCTCTCACATACCCCTCTACACCTCTCACATACCCCTCTACACCTCTCACATCCCCCTCTACACCCACCACATCCCTATCTACATCTTCCACATCCCTCTCCATCTCTCACATCCCTCTCACCACAGGATGGGAGGCTGGACGGAGAGTGGGGATGGCTCACCCTCGCCCGCCAGCAGTAGTGTGGGGTTCGGGGTAGAGACGCCCCCGGAACCCACCCGTCCAGCGCCCGTGTTGGACAGAAGGGATTCAAACCGCTCCCTCACTGGTCGCATCTCCCGTCGTGACTCTAGCAAGGTCTGTATGTCTCTCTGGCTGTATGTATGTATGTATGTATGTATGTATGTATGTATGTATGTATGTTGTAGGTGTAATGGTCACAATGCTCGCCTCACAAGCAGTGGACCCGGGCTCGATCCCCGGGCAGGGTGAAATTATGGGCAAGTTTCTTTACACCATTTGCCTCTCTATCCAGCAGTAATTGGGGACCTGGATGTTAATAGATTTCCGCATCGTGTTCCGAGGTAATGTTTAGCCAGTGCAGTTGGCGAGTTGTCCGGTCTTCTCGGTCTATTCCTTGACACTGGGTTATATAGGGTGTTGTGTTGTGTTGGCGACAGCTTCTACACCTTAAACAAATTCACGCTTTGGACACAAGGGCCAACAATTATTATTATTATAATATCTAGGAATGTGTTTGTATGACTCTGTGTGTTTGTTTGTGTTAATGAAACATGATTGCATGATGAAAATGCGTCTCTCTCTCTCTCTCTCTCTCTCTCTCTCTCTCTCTCTCTCTCAGGGTCAAGTCAGAGGATTTCACCTGATGATTAAACATTCTAACTCTACTTGGGAGGCTAAGTTAGGTGTGTGTGTGTGTGTGTGTGTGTGTGTGTGTGTGTGTGTGTGTGTGTGAATCATAACTGCCATGTACTGTATGTTCATCATTGTGTCAGGTCAGTTTTATCATCACTCAGCAGGAAACACGTACTGTACAAGTGTTTGAGAACATCAAGTGTCTTGTTCTTTCAGGAGCTGTTGGTCACCTCACAGCAGGGGAGCCCAAAGAGAGCCTCTACCAACCCCTTCAGGGCGTCCTGGGTCCCCCCTGATGAGTCCTCGGAAGAATCCTTCTTTCAGAAGCCCTTTGCAGGAAGTCAGCAAGCCCATGGTTCTCCTGCACCCACGGTGAATAACACCCAGAGTGAGCTGTCTGGCACGGTGAATGGGCAGGACTTCCCAGCACCGGCAGTGTCCAGCAGCCCCTGGGACCCCCAGATCCACGCTCGGCCCCGTGTGATACACACCAAGGCTGTTCAGGGTCCAATGGTCAACGGCAGCGAGGAGAGAGAGGTAGTGAGTGCTAATCTTATTGACATTGTCACTCCTTCCCCACCTGCTGTTGGTGTTGGCACGACGCAGTACGACACTTCCTCCCCAGCTGCCCGAAGTGCTGGCACGACGCAGTACGACACTTCCTCCCCAGCTGCCCGAAGTGCTGGCACGACGCAGTACGACACTTCCTCCCCAGCTGCCCGAAGTGCTGGCACGACGCAGTACGACACTTCCTCCCCAGCTGCCCGAAGTGCTGGCACGACGCAGTACGACACTTCCTCCCCAGCTGCCCGAAGTGCTGGCACGACGCAGTACGACACTTCCTCCCAGCTGCCGAAGTGCTGGCACGACGCAGTACGACACTTCCTCCCAGCTGCCCGAAGTGCTGGCACGACGCAGTACGACACTTCCTCCCCAGCTGCCGAAGTGCTGGCACGACGCAGTACGACACTTCCTCCCCAGCTGCCCGAAGTGCTGGCACGACGCAGTACGACACTTCCTCCCAGCTGCCCGAAGTGCTGGCACGTTCCTCCCCAGCTGCCCGAAGTGCTGGCGACGCAGTACGACACTTCCTCCCCAGCTGCCCGAAGTGCTGGCACGACGCAGTACGACACTTCCTCCCCAGCTGCGAAGTGCTGGCACGACGCAGTACGACACTTCCTCCCCAGCTGCCCGAAGTGCTGGCACGACGCAGTACGATACTTCTCCCCAGCTGCCCCAGTGCTGGCACGACGCAGTACGACACTTCCTCCCCAGCTGCCCCAAGTGCTGGCACGACGCAGTACGACACTTCCTCCCCAGCTGCCCAAGTGCTGGCACGACGCAGTACGACACTTTCTCCCCAGCTGCCCCAAGTGCTGGCACGACGCAGTACGACACTTCCTCCCCAGCTGCCCCAAGTGCTGGCACGACGCAGTACGACACTTCCTCCCCAGCTGCCCCAAGTGCTGGCACGACGCAGTACGACACTTCCTCCCCAGCTGCCCCAAGTGCTGGCACGACGCAGTACGACACTTTCTCCCCAGCTGCCCCAAGTGCTGGCACGACGCAGTACGACAAACTGTACGACAATACTGCGCGCAAGAACGATACAACTGTTGACATATTTCAAGATGCCAGGAATTACGACACAATAGACCGTTATCAACACTATGCCACAAAACCTGACAATACCAACTGGCCAAGTGAGAGAGGGAGAGGTGAACGAACGTCAGGTAGTCCATCAAGCCATCATGATAAACTCGACACAATAATGAGTACCCATAAACACCTCACACAGCCCAGCTCGTCCCTGATGCCAAAGGTACGATACCTCATTTATTCTTATTCATCATTATTCATCCGATAATATAATATTTGATACTATTCTGCCTTCTTCTTTAAAATAGTATCTGTTGATTATTGAAGGGACATGATATAATGTAGCAGTAGCAGCAACAGTAGTAGTAGTAGCACTATTAGTAGTAGTAGGATGAGACAATATTTTCTACCAGTCAGTCAAACCACTAAGATTTCCCTTGTCCCTATCAGCTGGTGATGCCAACTGACATGACCTCCGTAGACATCCAAGTGGCCCCTGACCTGGGTGGGCGGACATACGAGGTTCCCGCCACGCCCCCCAACACAGCCACCATCCCCCTGTCACCTCGCTCACCTCACATCACCTCGCGCTTGGCGGAGGTGGAGGCCAGGATGAGATTGTTGGGGGCGCAGACGGAGAGGGACACCTCGCAGGATTGGTGGCCCTCAGACACGTCTTCCACTTCCATCGTCGGGGGGGAGCAGGAGGGCCCGCGGGGAGGGAGGAGAGGGAGGAACCCGTTTTTAGTGAGTGTGGGGGAGAGGGAAGACTCGGTCGGTCTCAGTAGTGTAGACGAGGAGGAAGTGTTCTTACTCCACGACGAGGATGACGACCACAGAACACACGTCCCACGAGTCTCCCGCCGCGAGTTGAGTACCTCAGACGAGGAGAAAACGACTGCAGGTGTAGTGACCGCGGAATCCGAGGAAGACGCTAGTGCGAGGAGAGTGCGTGAGTACATTGCCTCACTGAGTGCTCGGCTGCGACAGATCCCAGACCAAGAGGAGTCCACGCGAGGTTCCCCGGACTATATGGAGACTCCTCCCACCTCGGCCACATACCCCGCCACGCCCCCTAACTCGGCGGGTAAAGTCTCCCACGATTCTTCGGAGACGCCTCCAAGTTCGGCGGGGTCCTACACCCACTACGGGGGCGGCCGGCCACCCTCCACCAGCACCCCGCCCAACTCGGCCACTCTCAGGAACTTGTACAGCAGCCGGCGAGCCTCGGCGGACGTGTCGCCCGCCTCCCCGGGGGTGTTTAGCCTCAGCATCAACAGGAGACTCTCCCTCGACACCCCGCCCAGTTCGGCCGGGCTGGTCACTGCCACGCCCCCAAACTCGGCCACCTCCCACCTTACCTTCGGGGACACACCCCCTAGCTCAGCTGGGTACTCCAACACCCCACCCAACTCTGCTGGGCTAACGGGGAGCTTTGAAGCGGGGCTGGTGGGCCCCGGGGTGGGGCTGGTGGGAGCCGGGGCGGGGCAGACACTCAAGAGAGCCATGTCGTGCGACTCTGTGAGCTCCGACACCTCCGTCACCCTGGGGGAGCTGGAGGACACCTGCGGCCAGGTAACGGGACACCTGGCCGTCCAACTCATCTACGACAGGTGAGTAACCGATCCTGTTGACTGTTTGTCTTATTTACCTTGTGGGGGGGTGGCGTCCGTGTGTACCAAAGGCTATATCCACACTGCTCCTAACGGACAGTCGTGCCTATTGGACTCACTTTTCACTGTTCGTGTTTCCACCGCCTGACCTACTAGATAGTTCCATAGGTCTACCAGCCTCTGTGTGAAGAAGTATTTCCTTGTATTTGTTCAGCAGGACATTTTTGGCGAGCTTGTAGTTATGTCCGCTAGTGTCTGTCTGTTAGATGGCGTCACTCCGCCAAAGGTTGAAGGCTCGCTAACATGACCACAGTAATATATTACGACATTGTTACAGCAGCGGGACGAAGGGAAGGAACTGATCTGTACCTGAGACACAGAAGGTTATTATCACCTGTGGCCAAACTATCAGGCAACTTGAGTGAATCACATAAGGGGCAAAACTCAAACTACTGTTGATACATGACTGAGGTGAGGAGGAGAGAGAGACAGTACCTACGTCAAACTTGTTTTTGAAAATATCGTCAATGTTGCCCCAGGTCTATATATCGTGTGTGTGTGTGTGTGTTCTACGTTCAGACAGCTGAGTGGAGACGGGAGGAGGAGGGACTGAGAGAGGAGGGGGAGAAAGAGAGAAAGAGTAGGTGGAGATTACGAGAGGAGGGAGGGAGGGGAACAGGAACCACACCCTCTCTCTTTCCCTTCTCCCCCTCCCTAACTCTTTCCCTCCCTCATTACCTCCCTCCCTCCCTCCCTCTCTCCCTCTTTCCCTCTCTCCCTCCCTCCCTCCCACTCTTTCTCCCTCCCTTCTCTCACCCACCTGTTGCCACCTCTGCCCCCCCCCCCTCTCACCGTGTCGTGACCTCAGACTTCCATACAGGAGGTGAGGGAGTTAGGTAGTCAACAATATGTATGTAAATTACTCCTCCGTGTATGTGTGTGTGTGTATGTATGTCTGTGTGTATGTGTATCTGTAAAAGTATGTGTGTGTGTATAAGTGCATGTGCGTTTGTAATAAGTGTGTGTGTGTGTGTGTATCTGTAAATAAACAATTAGATAAGCCTTCGAATTAATCTAAGTAATCAAATATCTTACCTAATTAATTGGGATCGTTCTCCCTAAATTAAACACGTTAACGCTATCTGAGGGATATGTTACCTTAGGTTAGGTTATGTTAGGTTAGGTTTGCTTAATGTTATGTCATGGTATGTTAGATGCGGTTAGCGATATGTTAGGGTTATGTTAGGGTTATGTTAGGTTAGGTGAGGTTAGGTTAGGTGAGGTTAGGTTACGTGAAATAATCTTTTGTGATATTTTTTTTCCTGGCAAAATGTGACATCTTGCCCAGCACGTCTCAGCTCTGATTGGTTGGCTTCGTGATATTGTTTATTTCTTCGACCAATCAGCTTTCTGTACGAGACCCAGTGATCGTCCAATCAACTTCGAGGATTCGTAGAGGTGAAGGGGAAGAGGAAGGGGGTAGGGGGCAAGGGAAGGGAAGGGGAGTGACCTTAAGGACTACGTCTCACACTTGCGTGACTGTATGATCGATATCTCATTCTTCATTCACCCAACCACACGTCTTCACCCAACCACACACCTTCACCCAGCCACACGCCTTCACCCAACCACACGCCTTCACCCAACCACACGCCCTCACCCAACCACACGCCCTCACCCAACCACACGCCCTCACCCAACCACACGCCCTCACCCAACCACACGCCTTCACCCAACCACACGCCCTCACCCAACCACACGCCCTCACCCAACCACACGCCTTCACCCAACCACACGCCCTCACCCAACCACACGCCTCACCCAGTCCTTACGCCCTCACCCAGTCATACGCCCTCACTCCAGCCACACGCCCTCACCCAGCCACACGCCCTCACCCAGTCATACGCCCTCACCCAACACGCCCTCACCCAACCGCCCCTCACCCAGCCACACGCCCTCACCCAGCCACACGCCCTCACCCAGCCACACGCCTTCACCGCCCAACCACACCTTCGCAACCCGCCTCACCCAACCACACGCCTTCGCAACCACACGCCCTCACCCAACCACGCCCTCACCAACCACGCCCTCACCCAACCACGCCTCCCCAACCTTACGCCCTCACCCATCCACGCCCTCACCCAACCACACGCCTTACCCAACCACGCCCTCACCCCAACCACACGCCCTCACCCAGTCGCCACGCCCTCACTCAGCCACGCCCTCACCCAGCCACGCCCTCACCCAATCACGCCTCCACCCAGCCACGCCCTCACCCAGCCACACGCCCTCGCAGCCACACGCCTCACCAGCCACACGCCCTCACCCAGCCACACGCCCTCACCCAGTCCTTGCGCCCTCATTCAGCCACACGCCCTCACCCAGCCACACGCCCTCACCCAGTCATACGCCCTCACCCAGTCATACGCCCTCATTCAGCCACACGCCCAACTTAAGAACATAAGAATGGAGGAAACTGCAGCGAGCCTATTGGCCCATACTGGGCAGTCCCGTTTACACCCAACCCCTATCGCTCATATATCCATCCAACCTATGTTTTAAGCTATATTCTAGTTAATAATAATGTTTGGTAACTTGTTCCACTCATCCACTACTCTATTTCCAACCAGTGTTTACCTATTTCACGCCTAAATCTAAATTTGTCTAATTTAAAACCATTGCTACGAGTTCGCTCCTGGTTGGATAGTTTGAGTACCTTTGTAATGCCACCTTTGTTCAACCCTGACTTCCATTTATTCACCTCTATCATGTCGCCCCTCACTCTACGTCTCTCGAGGGAGTGCAGACTACGATACTTTAACCTGTCTCTGTACTCAAGGTTCCCAATGCCAGGGATTAGTCTTGTCATTCCTCTCTGGATTCTTTCTAGGGACTTTTATTCATTCTGTAGTACGGTGACCAGAACTGAACTGCATAATCCAAGTGAGGTCCCAACCTAACCTAACCTAACCTAACCTAACCTCACCTCACCATTGGTACGTGATTCATTCCTGATTGGATAGTTTAATTACGTATTAGTTATGTCACGTTTATTTAACCTCCATCTTCCATTCATATCGTCTCTCTCTCTCTCTCTCTCTCTCTCTCTCTCTCTCTCTCTCTCTCTCTCTCTCTCTCTCTCTTATACTCTGGATCACCTTAACAACATCCTCTTTTGAATGGTTTAGAAAGACTACAGTGAAACCTCCATATAGCGGACTTTGCTCTCCATATAGCGGACTTTTCTCTCCATATAGAGGATTTTCTCTCCATATAGCGGATTTTATCTCCATATATCGGACTTTTCTCTCTATATAGCGGACTTTTCTCTCCATATAGCGGATTTTCTCTCCATATAACGGACTTTATTCTCCATATAGTGGAATTTTCTCCCTATATAACGGAATTCTGTCTCCATAAATGGACTTTCATCCCTAAAATCCGTTATATGGAGGTAACACATAACGGACATACCAGACTTTCAGCTTTATATAGTTCGTTAAATGGAGGGATTATTGTACCTATACCGAACCCAATACCGGATACTGCTAGTTGTATTTCCTAGTGAGTGTTGTGTAGAATGAGAGACAGACGGACAAACAGACAGAAAGATAGACAGACAGACAGAGACAGAAAGACGGACAGAGACAGAAAGACATAGAAAGATAGACAGATAGAGACAGGCAGACAGACAGAGATAGACAGACACAGGCAGACAGAGAGACAGACAGACAGAGACAGAAAGACAGACAGAGATAGAAAGACAAGAGACAGTAATAGACAGACAGAAAGACAAATTGGCAGAGAGAGGGTGAGAGATAGACAGAGAGAGACAGAAACAGAGTCAGAGAGAGACAGGGTGACTAAAACAGAATCAATGAGACGGAGAATAAGAAAAACACGAACAGAAATAGAGACGGGGAGACAGGGAGAGATAGAGAGAGAGAGATACAGAGACAGGGAGAGATAGAGACACCCCGGGATAGTTGTACACGTCACTTAGGTCGATAAATCGTTAGCTCACTTTGTAAAGGTCGAGGGACTTTGTTAGAAATGTTCTCTCCGGGTCACTATATGTCGACAAGGTCACTATATGTCGACAAGGTCACTATATGTCGACAAGGTCACTATATAATAAAAGGTCACTATATGATAAAAGTCACTATATGTTAACAAAGGTCACTATATGTCGACAAAGTCACTTTACTCGTCGACAAGTGTATATTTACTGTACATCGATAATATCAAGAGTATTAAGTATACTGAAGATGGTTTCCTCCCCTCCTCCTCTTTCTTCCTCTCTCTCTCTCTCTCACCCCCTCCATCCCCCCCCTCTCTCTCTCCACCCCCTCCATCCCCTCTCTCTCTCTCTCACCCCCTCCATCCCCCCTCTCTCTCTCCCCCCCCTCCATCCCCCCCCTCTCTCTCTCTCCACCCCCCCTCCATCCCCTCTCTCTCTCTCCACCCCCCTCATCCCCCCCTCTCTCTCTCCACCCCCTCCTCCCCCCTCTCCCATCCCCCCTCCCCTCTCTCTCTCTCTACCCCTCTCTCTCCCCCCTCTCCACCCCCCTCCATCCCCCGTCTCCATCCCCCCCCTCTCTCTCTCTCCACCCCTCCATCCCCCCCTCTCTCTCTCCACCCCCCTCATCCCCCTCTCTCTCTCCACCCCCCTCCATCCCCCCCTCTCTCCATCCCCCTCCCTTCTCTCTCTCTCTACCCCCTCTCTCTACCCCTCTCTCTCCCCCCTCCATCCCCCTCTCCCACCCCCTCCACCCCCATCAACTCCGCTTGCATCGTGTGTGTAAAAATGTTACTGTTTTTCTTGACCTCTCAGTTGGCAGGTGTTTGGACCTCCAATGCCAGGACGTACACATGTGCACATTATCGCGGAATTTACGCATAAATGACCGTTCATAACTAATTCTATCTATTTATCTGTCTGTCTGTCTGTCTGTCTGTCTGTTAACAAAGCATATGTGATATAAACGTGTGAATTTATACTTCCATGTATATATGTATGTATGTATTACATATGTTTCTGGTAGGATTATGTAGTTGGAGAGACAGAGGGACAGATAGATAGAAAGAGAAAGAGAGAGAGAGAGAGAGAGAGAGAGAGAGAGAGCGGGAGAGAGAGGTGGGAGGACCAATTTCTCTTGCCAACAGGTCGATGTAATTAACTCCGAGGAGGTTATTGTGGAGGAGGGAGGGAGGGAAGGTGAGGGAGGGAAGGAGGGAGGGTACGGGAGGGTACGGCAGGGAAGGAGGGAGGGAAGGAAGGTGAGAAGGTGAGGGACGGAAGAAGGAAAGGGAGGGTGAGGGACGAAAGAAAGAAGGAAAGAGAGAGAGTGAAGGAAGAGGAAAGGAAGGATGTATGGACGTGAAAAATTCTCTCTCTCTCTCTCTCTCTCTCTCTCTCTCTCTCTCTCTCTCTCTCTCTCTCTCTCTCTCTCTTCGATCTCTAAGGAGCAGAAAACAGAGAGAGCGAGATAGAGAGAAACGGAGAGATAGATACAGAGAGAAATAGAGAGATAGAGAGAGAGATCTTTCACTTTATTCACCCACTCACTAAATGATGTGATGTTTACTGCGTGTTAGAAGACTTTGCCTCGTCAAGGGAACAATGAAGGTGTTACAGTAATGTGTCAGTCCCAGGGAACATCTGTCTCTATCACTCTATTATTATTATTATTATTATTATTAGTATTATTATTATTACTATTACTATTATTATTATTATTATTAGTATTATTATTATTATTATTATTATTATTATTATTATTATTATTTAGTATTATTATTATTATTATTATTATTATTATTATTATTATTATTATTTAACAAACAAGTAAAATATATAAAACAATAAACAAATGAAAAACGACAAACACACGAAGGAAAATAATTAAAATGACAAAAACTATTAATGAATACAGAAGTTCCGTAACATTGCTCACCTTCTCGTTAATTTAAACACAAGAGTAATGATGAAAATGGAATCAAAACAGTGCTGAGACTTGACTATAAACACGATCATTGTCTTCTTGGTGGTTAGGAGGAAAATTTAACGTAGGAACCTTTGAGAATCCATCTTTGTGTCGTAGTTTAAGTGAGTCAGTTACTCTCTCTCTCTCTCTCTCTCCCCTCACCCCCCCTCATTCCACTTCCTCTCTCCTCCCTGTTATTTGGGACAATTAGTTAACTGAAGCTTAAAAGGTTCCTTCTAGCCTCTCCTTTCCACCTCTCCTCTCAGCCCCCCTCCCCCCTCCTCTTCCCCTCTCCCTCTTTCCTCTCATTGACACCCAGGAATTAAGGCTAGAGTCACCACCACCATTACCTATTATTGGCTCTCTCTCTCTCTGTCTCTCTCTCTCTCTCTCTCTCTCTCTCTCTCTCTCTCTCTCTCTCTCTGCCTTCCTTTACTTATTAATTTTCTTATCTCTCTTATGTACACGTTTACTGCTGTTTGTTTTGCTCTTATCGCAAGTTGAACACACACATACATACATACATACATACATACATACATACATACATACATACATACAGAGAGAGAGAGAGAGAGGGCATTAATTAACACCAGGTAAAAACATTATTTATTTACCTGTACTTCTTGATCAAAACCCACGTTAACAAGGGTCACAATTCATACATTCATACAGT